CAGCTCAGGAGTATACGAAACGTCAGGCTTATGAGACCTATTTCAAAAAGCTCCGGTAGAGTGTGCCTGATTCCGATCAGCCAGGCTCGTCTCGGCAGCCGACAGACGGAGACGAGCATGAGCAAATGAACGTCGACGATTCCCATTCCCTCCCACATCCACCCATATGCACATCCCCGATCCCATAGCCCGAGATTCCAATCCAGCAGCCACCGGCATGGTGGTCCACTTTTCAGACTCAGTACACGTCCGACATCCGCTCTATCCACGACCGCTTCGACAGCCTTAATGACGATCTCCGGTCTATTCGCGAGCGGCAGGAACAACAGGATGCTCGGATGGGCATCTTGGATCAGAGGTTCACCCAGTGGGAAACCCGTTGGACCTCGGAACCCAGTCAGTCTGTCCCCCCTCCGCCACCACCACCTTCGGATGAACAGTGACGTTTCACTGTGCTTTGAATGTTGTTCGCACGTTTTCATTATGTTCTATCCTGGTTTATGAATGTTGTTTGCACTTTTGAACTCCAGAACATATTTTTCGGATTGTTATTTTCGGATTCGTTTTGCACTAGGATTTTGACTTTGAACTTTCGTATTAATCGTAAGCTTCTATTTTCGTTTTATTAATGAATGTCATGGCTTTCTTTAATATGAATGTTTGTGTTCAGATCGCTATGAGTAACGAAAATCTGGTTTCTTGCCAAGAAACTGGTTTCTTGCCAAGAAACTGGTTTCTTGCCAAGAAACTGGTTTCTTGAACGAGAAACTGGTTTCTTGTCAAGAAACTGGTTTCTCGCCAAGAAACTGGTTTCTTGAAACGAAAATCTGGTTTCTTGAAACGAAAATCTGGTTTCTTGTCAAGAAACTGGTTTCTTGCCAAGAAACTGGTTTCTTGCCAAGAAATTGGTTTCTTGAAACGAAAATCTGGTTTCTTGTCAAGAAACAGGTTTCTTGCCAAGAAACTGGTTTCTTGGCAAGAAACCAGTTTCTTGACAAGAAAC